ATTGAGTGGTGAAAGGAGATTTAAACAATGACCTTGCAAAGAAAGCACACGTGATTAGGAGTGAATATTTACAGTAAGTGTATTAGTTTACTAATTCCAGATATCGGTACTGGTGGAGAATAACTTTTTAATGGGATTACAGATGTGGTATCATTAATTTAGCTTAATAACACGGAATTCTCATCAGAAACATACCATCGCAGTTCCTGGCCCCACAACGGGTAATAAATGTAGCAGTTGATAGTTGTTCTTTGAGATACAGAAATTTGCGTTACTACTTGCAAATGTGAGTACTATCTCACAACATTGGAGGTTGAAATTAATCCACGGTTGTACGAGTAAAATACTTTCAACTGTACTACTTACTGCATTACCATCGATAATAATCTTTTTTTACATGTATAGCGGAGGCGTGGACGGGGCTCACTGTAGCCCAACTGGCACAGATTGTTCGCAGTCCACGAGTACCGACCAAGTCTGCAACGGGTGCAAAATCTGCTCGACCGAGCTCCGGTCTATCTACTTTGGAGTCATACCTGTCATCCAGTTTGTTGTTCCACGCTGCCCTAGCCGCTGTCACCAGTCTGGATGTAGCCATTCTGCCAGCCCACCTCACTGATCCGGGTAGTGTGGAACAACTTACGGCCGAGTCCAATGCGACGCGAATCGCGGATATTCTTCGTGCCGGAGTGTTTATTTCGCATTGGATCCCATCCAACCTGACTGCCTTGGTTTCTCTCGTTCCTCAGCGTACTGGGGTGGATGTTGCATCCTGGCGAGTGACAATACGGTTGAGTCCGCTTTCGACTCAGTTACCACCCGGTAATAGCCCCGCCGATCGATGGCCCCCCGAGACATTGAATCTCATGGAGAAGTTTTTCGATATCAGGGTAAGCTTTAGTAGCATAATAATTATTATTATAATAATACTTGCGGCCGGGTGATTTATTCTTCTGGTCTACTTCGTCGCTCATCCGTGTTTCTTTCTGTCCCCGGGGTTTTACATACTGTTCAGGTATGTGCTGCTCCATTCCAACCGAGTGCAGTCACCGCATTCTTCCGTCTCCTGGTCCTACCGCCGCGTGCACTTCGTTCCATCGTGCGCCTCATCCCATTCGATTTGCATCCTCCTGCGCACACACCAATTCAATTGCGATTGGGTTTGGTCCGACTGGGCACAAACAAACGAACAACCCGTGGAGCTTATGCCGGGACTAGTTCACCACATGGTCAACCCAGTGTGGATGGCGCTTCCACTCAATCTCCGGATTTCATTCCAGGCCTGCCCGGTATCCTAGTTCGACCGCCCCGTATCACTTTACAGCTGTTGGTGTTGCGTGCTGCACATCCGGTTAGTGGACCGACCTCTTCTGAATCGTTTCCAAAATATATTTTGTCATTATTAATTGGTATATTTGACGGTTACTATGGTTGTAATTTCCCGCAGATACATGGGTAGCATGTTTGCGTCCTATCTGTGAGGTCCCAGGTTCGAACCCCACAGTTGGGTCGCAGGATTTGCACTGTACCGATGAGACTCAACCAGGTCGAAAAAGCTGTCAAGTGCTTCCTAATTTTGCAGTTCACGCTTCACTCTATGGACGACGAAGTCCCAGAGACCGGACTGGGGCAAATTTCATGTCTGGTCTACAAGCCCAAAGTCAAAACATGTGTTGAAGGCTTTCGTGATGCAATTCACCCACATCTCTTCTGCGTCCGAGTATGGGCTTGTCATGAAAAACCGGCACCAATAGCTGTCCACAGGCATGCGTACTCAGTCGTTTTGTTTCTCTTTTGTGGTATTCTTTTTATTTTACTTGGATACAGGTTTTTTTATTATTGTTGCTGACCTAATTCTTCGTGCTAATTATTCCTGTCTGTGGTCTCTATCGGCCTACTCACAAAACGTGCGCACTGTTTACTATAGCCCCGAAAAGGGTAAAACAGCTTTCCAGTAATCCAGAACGTGCCCCTCGACAAGTTCCATTTTCATGTTAACTTTTTACATCGTTCTGTCTGGCCATAGACCGTCCCAGCTCTCATCAAAACGCTTCGAAAGCACGTCTGAATAAAAAAGATTCCGAATATGGTCATGTGATTCACGTGCATCCCATTAGTGTTGTAATGAAAAACGCATTATTTCGAGCTATAAATCCTTGCGTAATTATCGTGAACAACCATACCCTATCACTTACACATCTGTTAATGTACACACGCATTTTTATTCCTTATATCCTCTCGTTTATCCGTTAGACTGCTTGTGAATCTTTTCTCGATTTGTTCACCTGATTGCGTCATCTTTGCTCTGTGTTTTCACTTGTTTTCATTCAGAACAAACAAGGCTCATTGGCCCAGTTAATCTCCGTCGGCTATGACTGGGATGCCAATAGAGTTACTATGCTTGCTGTCTGTGGTTCCCCTCATGCGACCGGATCCCGTACAGGTTCCACGGATAGTGTGGGTTCTAATTCGACTAGTGGTCCCGGAGGAGGAGGAGGAGGAGGCGTCGGTGGCGGTGGCGGTGGCGGTGGAAGCACCACAGTTAGTAGTTTGTCACAGTTGTTACTGGAAACCGAAGTCGAGGCCAATGCGAACATGCTTGCCTCGGCCAGTGGTGAATCTGCCCTGGTCCAATTGGCCTCACTGATCACTCAGACTGCGGCTGCCAGTTCAGGCACCACTTCAACTTATTCCGGGACCGGATCAAGTTCCAACACAGGAACCGGGGCTGGAGTCACGAGTGCAGGTGGTGCTGGTGCTGCCGCTGCTGCTGCTGCTGCTGGTGGTGGTGGTGGTGGTGGCAGTAGTGGCGGCGGTCCGAGTGTGGTCGCACCTGGAAGTGGTCCAAACAAGCCGTTGTTCACCTCAAACTAACTTCACATATGTATATGCCACATTGTATAGATTTCTTCTATCTCATCATCTTCTCGTGTCATTTGTGCCTCCTGTATGTATGTATGTATGTATGTATGCAGTCGGTTCATTTGCCCAAAGACCCTTCTTTCTTCTCTCTCCTCTTCCAGTGAAAGCATCAATTTTTATCATTGTCTATTGCCTACCACCTAAATTCACTATTTACTTTTGTTTTTTTTTGTTCTTTTCTTTAATTTTCATGGTTGTTGATCAAGAAGCTCCAAGAAACCGAGGCACTTATCAGCACGCAGGAGGTGGAGAAGTCAGTTTCAGCTCTAAACCTCGATGAGTTAAGTCGCGTCGCCAGCTACTCCTGAATTGGGGGGGGGGGGGGGG